CTAAAACATTTAATAAATAAACTACTTTCACTTTCGTCAGCTTCTCATTAATTTTGTAAATCTACCACATTACATTGCCCTTAAAAGATTGATTATAAACTGTAATATATTTATCCCTTTTGATATAGTCAAAAGCTTCTTTTTAATGTAAATATATAATATACATTTCATTTACATAAAATTAATTTGATTCTTTATTTAATATTTCCAAAAATTTTGAAGATTTTATGCTTGACCTTGCGTGAAATTCAATTAATTTGAGATACTTTCATTTCCTAAATTTCATATGGTAATTAATTTTTGATGCAGTGATTTTTAATTTTTGCAATTATTAATTTATTTTAATAAAAAGTGATTAAGTTTTGTTTAGCAAATTAATTTATTTTGTATAATTTCCATTTTTTTAAAATACAAATTCAAATAATCAAATTGTAGAAAATGTTATTTTAAAAACTATTTTCTCTAGATAATAGAAAAAATGAAAAAATTAAATTTTTTTTTGAATGCAGGTAGTTTTTTTTTTTGTCAAGTTCTTAATAAATTGTTGGTGATTTTGAAGTGTTGAAGGTCAACAAAATTTTTTTTTTTCCCAACTAATAACAGTCTCATGGTCAGCCCTTGACAAAAAAAAAGTATTTAATGTTTTTAAAGATATTAAAAGAGCCTCTCTAATTTTGTATGGGATGCTGCAGAAGGTTCTTCTTCTTCATTCATTGTCATATATGATTTGAGAGGCCTCATATTATATAGACTGAGATTTCCATTAAAACATTCACAAATATTTACAGTTAACAAAAATTACTTTCACAATAAACTATTTTTATTTATATATACAAAAATCGTTATTTTTTACTACAAATATTCCTAAAAATTGACAATATAAAAATGATCGTAAATATTTTTACGATCATGACAAATTACTGCACCTGAAACATACATATTTTAATTTTTGAAAAAAAGTAATAAAAATCTTTTTAAATTTCTTTAACTTAAATTCTAACAAAACATCGTTAAATTAAATTCCAACCAAATTATATCAGCCATATGCTTTCAAAAAAGAAATTTTTTTTGAAAAAAGAATTTAATATTAGTTTATTTTTTATATTATTTAAATTTAAAAATTTTTTTATTTTATTTTCCTATTTCTGAATTATTACTTTTTTATGAATTTTTTTTTTTTGCTTTTTTTAAATGCGAGCAGCACTTAACATTGAAAATAACCCATCAAACTCGTCAAAAAAGCGAAAATAAAATAGACTTTAGGATATTTCTTATATTGTTATAGCTTTTTTATATTCTACATTTATCATTCATATAATTTTCGTAACATCCTTTAAATTAAAATTCGATTTACAATATAAAAATGAATTTTTTAAATTTTTTATAAAAGAAAAATCATTTTTTATTTTTAACTATAATATTTTTTTCTATAAAATATTTGATGTAAAATATAAAAAAATTTAAATTCTTTATAAACAATATTTATAGAGAAAATAAAGTGGAAAAATTTTAAATAATTTAAAATGTAAATTACATTACTGTATCAAATTAAGTTATTATTAATTAAATAATTTGCCATTTCATTAATTAATTTATTAATTTGTATAGGCATGAATTAATTAAAAAAATATATTTAATTATTATAATTATCTCTTATTTTATATTTTCAAATTCTTTAAAGAATAATAATCATTAAAAGAATTATATATCCGCTTTGATGTTGCACACATTTATTCTTAAATTATTGTGAAGTGACCGTGAAATAGTTGATCCATCCTAAAAGAATCAAAACTTCCGTGTATTTAATTAGCCAACATCATAAATCAAATACATATATATATAATTTGGCAAATATGTATATCTAGATGCATGTACATGTGTTATTTCATCTTTACTGTAATTAGCATCACGTCAGCATCCGAATCCTTAAATCTCATTTCATAGAATATAATATACACTAAATTGTTAAATGATAAATGTCATTATTTAGTATCCAAGGTTAAAATTTTATCTGTTTCGCTTCATATAATAGACCACTAGTAAAAGAAGAGAAATCAAAAATATTTTCAATTTTTAGGTGAAGAAAACGAAATATAAAATTACGTAATGCTGTTTTGACATCTTATAGGTCCATCAATATGTGTTTAATTAACTGTACACATTTCAAATATCGCAAAGGCATTATTAAAAAAATATATATATATATATATAAATGAGATTATTATTTTTTAATGAAATATGTTATTTCTTTTAATTAAAATTTCAATAGTGTAAGTCACTGTTTTTAAAATTTCGAAATTTTAACTTTTTTTTACAACTTTATTCACTATTTATCTACATATATAATATATAAAATCATAAATATTAATTAATTAAATCATCATCTCTTTACATAGATTATTTCTATTGAAATTAAATTTTTTTTTTGAAATAACATAAATATGAGGAATTTCATGCCATTCCAACATATCGTTGACTTTGACCTCTTTAATTTAGCTCAACATTTTTTTTACTATTTTGTACCCTTAAAAAAAGAGCTTCATGATTTTTTTTCCAATTTTTTCATCGAGATATGAATTTTTCAAAATTTCAGAATTTTAATGATTTTTTATTTTTAATTGCTCATAACTTCCTTAAAAAAAAATTCATGCAAAAAATTATAAAATTTACTAAGTTTTTTGTAATTTAAAGATTAAAATCTTGTTTTTAAATTTTATTCAAATTTTCCTTTTTAATATTACACTAATTATCTTTGATATAATTGAAAACTCAATTTTTCATAAAATTTAAACATTCGTTTTTTTTTGCATTATATTATAATACAAAATATGCAAATTATTTGCGTATGAATATGAAATGGAATAGTGAATCCATTTTTAACTAGAATAAAAAATATGAACATCTTTCTTTTCGCAAGAAGAAATTCGGTAACTTATAAATAATTTATAGAAATATATGAAAAATATTTTACCTTTTATATCGATATTTATCGATGAGACTTTATGAAAATTAAAAGATTTTTTTTTGTTTTGAGATTAAACTTTCTAATTTATCTGTTTGTTTTTTTTATTTTTTTTTTTTTTTTTGTAAAATTGTTATCTTAATTTTTCTTTTCAAATTTTTCATGTAAAACATATAGAAATATTATTTTATAATTACAATTTTTTTTTGTTTAAATCGTCGCTTCGATGGAGAACTATGCCGTTTTGAACAAGCGGTGAAAACAATGCCGTTTCGAAAAAGTTGTGAAAACTATGCCATTCCAACTAACATTTGAAGAAAGTGCCATTTCGAAGTTGACAAATTTTTTTTCCAAATTTAGGTTGTCAACATTAAAAAAGCCTTTATTAAATTAAGAGTTTCTAAAAAAAAGAGAAAAAAAACATAAGCACCGTTTTTTTTAAACATTGTGTCAAATTTAATGTTATCTTTTTTTTACTTTTGATTACAAGCAAAACAATGTTTCAATTAGTAGCGTTTAATTGTTCTTTTTTTAAAAATATATTTAATCTAATAGAAATTTTCTTAATGTTGCCAACCTAAATTTTCATTAATTTCAAAGTAGCACTTTCTTTTTTCTTTAAATTTTTGGAAATTAATTAATTTTACTGATTTAAGAATTTTAAATGAATGTATGAATATGAAATTTCAAATATTAAAATTTTATAAGTGTAAAATAATCTAAACTAGTTGAAAATAAGGATTCAAAATTTTATTTATAATTCATGAAATTATATAATAAAATTTATCTCAATAATAAATATAAAATGTAAAAATGTAACAAAAAATACTTCTTTTTTCGAAAGTCTTGTATTCCCTTGTTGTTGAAAGATTGTCATTTGATAACTGAAGAAAATACAAAATTTGAATGTTATTCAAATAAAAGCTTTCACACCGCCCTCGAGTGATGCTGAATTAAATTTTTACGGATGAAAAGACATGATTATAAAACCATGATATGCATGAGACGGCTGCCTCTTTTCAGAATTAAAAAATAAGAAAAAAAAATGAAAATATATGTCAATATGTACTTGTAATAAGAAAAAGGAAAAGAAAAAAGGAATATTTAAAACGAAATATTTTATTTAAATTTATCATCACTTATAATAATAATAACAATAATAATAATAAAATTAATTAATTAAAATTAATTGTAAAGATAATTATTATAATTACAATTTAGCATCATTTTTAAAGTTAAAAATGAATTTTTTAAGTTTAATTAATCAATTAATTTCTAAATGTTAATAAATTCTAATATTTATTTAAAATATTAAAATGATGTTTGTTTTTAATTAAAAATAAATTTCTTTATATTGTTTACTTATTTTAAATCAAAATTTAATTTATTGAATATGTGTAAATTATGTGAAAATGTGTTTGAATTAAAGAAATTCAACTTAGAGCAATTAGACAAAAAAAAAACCTAAAACTTTAAAAATATTTTTAAAAAAATGAAATGATATCTTTGACACCTGCACAAACTATTTTTCATCCAAACATTTTTTTTTTTCAGTTTCAAGATATTTTTAATAAAATTAAACAATATTTCAGCTTTGAATAAAAGTTTCTTCATATAAATTCTAACAATATTTTACACTTGAAATTTATGGAAAAGTAATTTTACTTATCACCGATTTTTCTTCTTTAACAGTGAAAAAAAACACCTTTGTAAATGCATTAAAATAAACTGTCACTGACAAAACATTTTTTAAAATACTCGCAATTTTTATTGTCTGCTTTAAAAAACATCTTTTTTTTCCCAACATTACACGATTTTTCAAAAAAGAAAATGAACTTACTATTTAGAGACTTGAGTGAAAAAAGAAATGTCAAATCGTATAGCTTAAGGATAACTAAGGAAAAAGAAAGTGAAATGGGAAATTGGAGAGATTCCCACCTTCTCCGAAAAACGATCGAGTCTATACACCAAATATTGAAACTGTTCCTAAAGATGTCCCGTGTATATGATGGTGGTGGCAAAGCCAGGCGAAAACCCATTTAAAAATCTAGTTCTGCCAATGCCACATTGATTATGAAATCATTTTTTGGAGGGAGCATCTCCCAGTATAAAAGGTTCAAATGAGTCTGCACTGACACTCATCACTTCATCGAGCTCCTTAGGATCAACATGAAGCTCTTCCTTCTTTCGGTGGTGAGTTCAATAATTAAAAATATATTTATTAATTAATTAATTTTTTTTCATTTTGTCTATATAAATTTTTTAATAAAATTGTTTCCATCTTGAAAAAAAGTATATAAAAAAAATTATAGCAAATATTAAAAGATGAGTGATTTCTGGAAAATTAAAAAAAAAAATTAACTTTTATAAACAATTTCACTTTAATAAATTAAAATATCCAATACCCAATCTTAAAATAAAAGACAAACAAATTAGATTCCTTTTAATTAATATGTTAATTTAATTATAAATTATTCTAATAAACTTTATTTTCTGATAAAAATTTTCCAAAACTTGAAGTCAAATATAAATAACCCAAACCTAAAATACTTGATTAACAATAGGGTCATTAATTGCTGTTTATCAATCTTTATATAAAACAATTATAAATTTAAATTAATTCACCGTATACTTTTTAAATTAGACATGAAGCTAATACATGAATATTATTTAATGGTTTCTTCAAATCCTAACATATGTAAATTATTTCTTTCTCCTCATGAAAATGGATTTTACTCTTAACCGACTTAGAGAATCTTATGAAAATTCAATTCCTATTTCTAATGCAATGCACAAAATTTACAATTTTTATCAAATACAGAAAATACAGAAAAATGCTTAAACTTTCAAAAAAAAAAAAAAAAATTAACTGCTAAAGGTTTCTTCATTCCCAAAACTTGGAAATGTATTAATCTATCCTATATTATGAAATCGTGAGACCTTTTCGAATTTTAATCTATGAATTATAATCTATCACATTCTTTAACGAAATATATATTTATATATAATTATGCTTTCCAATTAAATTGGAACGATCTCGAAATTATTCAGACTCTTATGAATGTCATCATATCAACGAATATATTAAAATATTTATCAAAGTTGAAGATGCATTTTTTAATTCATGAATCGTAAAACGTAATCATGTCCAAAATTATGTAAAGGAAATCTTCAAGGCCACATTTTGTTTCGTTCGACACGTTCCACTTTCGTTACATTTCTTTTTTAACGAATTTGCACCTCTTACGTGTGTGTGTGTGTGACCATCTTCCTGGCCTAATCCTTTTACTTTCGGAACTGAAACATATATTCCTTATTTAAATTAGCTATACGAATTTTAATTAAGTTTAATATTCAAACTAAACTAAAAGAAAAAAAAGTCTTAACATTTTTTCACTTCAAAAAGAAAACAATCCAAAACTTTTGTATATATATATATTTTTTTTAATTGATTATTTTAATTATTAATTATTGTTTCTGAAGTTGAACATTATTTTTTTTTAAATAAGAGATTTAGTGTAAAAAAATTAATTTTCTAATCAGGTATGCCTTGTGGGCACGTCTCTTGCCGTTCCGGTTACAAGAGCAAGAAGAGATATTCTTCCTGGTGATCCACGATATGGTACCGATTATCATCACCATCATCACCATCATCATGAAGAACATGCCGCAACCAACAGCAATTCTGGATACAATTACAATGCCCCAGCCACAAGTGAAACTCATCAACTCCCAACTCAAACATACGGAGCTCCTTTCAATCCAATGAGAAATCAACCAGCTCCTCCCTCAACTTCCTATGGAACTCCAGTTGTACACCAACAACAATACCAGGTCAGATAACAATAATCCCATTCTTCATTTATCAATAAAAATAAAAATATATCTTTAAAAAAAAACATGGATTTGTTTTTACTAATATTAATTTTATCCCATTGATTATTAAAAACAAAAATTTTTAGGCCCCAGCTGTCCACCAAACTCACACTACCGAACAGGTTCATCATGTTGAACACGTCCATCATGTTCAACATGAAGCACCAGTTCAACACACTGAAGAAGCTCCAGTTTCACAAGGTAACATTTCGCAAATATTATAAAATCATTATTAACATCTTTTTGTTGAAATAAATTTCTAATCTAACTAATTAATTTTAAATTCTTCTTTCTTCAGTTAACCACAACTCTTTCCAAGTTCCTCAACAAGTTCAACACGTAGAATTCCAAACTACCCAACAGGAAGCTCATGTTGAACACCAACACCATCATGTTGAACACCAAGAAGCACAGCACCAACATGTTGAACATCAAGAACCCCATCATCACCATGTTGAACATCAAGAACCACAGCACCATCATGTTGAACATCAAGAACCACAGCACAATCAGGTTGAATACCATGCACCTCAGCAATATCACGTTGAACACCAACATGTCGAACACCAAGTTCCTCAAACTACATATGGTGCTCCACAACATCAAGCTCCTCAAACCACATACGGTATTCCTCAGCAACATGCTACACATCAAGTTCCTCAAGCTACACACCAAGCCCCTCAAACCACATACGGTGCTCCTCAACAACATCAAGTTCCTCAAGCTACACACCAAGCTCCTCAAACCACATATGGTGCTCCTCAACAACACCAAGTTTCTCAAGCTACCCACCAAGCTCCTCAGGCTACATACAGTGCTCCTCAGCAACATCAAGTTTCTCAAGCTACCCACCAAGCTCCTCAGGCTACATACGGTGCTCCTCAACAACATCAAGTTCCTCAAGCTACACACCAGACTCCTCAAACTACATACGGAGCTCCTCAACAACATCAAGTTCCTCAAGCTACACACCAGGCTCCTCAAACCACATACGGTGCTCCTCAACAACATGCTGCCCATCATGTTTCTGAAGCAACACACCAGGCTCCACAAACTACATACGGTGCTCCTCAACAACATCAAGTTCCTCAAGCTACACACCAGGCTCCTCAAACCACATACGGTGCACCTCAACAACATCAAGTTCCTGAAGCTACACACCAGGCTCCTCAAACCACATACGGTGCTCCTCAACAACATCAAGTTCCTGAAGCTACACACCAGGCTCCTCAAACTACATACGGTGCTCCTCAACAACATCAAGTTCCTCAAGCTACACACCAGGCTCCTCAAACCACATACGGTGCTCCTCAACAACATCACAATGCCGAACATACTCATCATGTTGAACAACATGCCGCACCAGCACCCCAAGCCCCAAGACAATACTTGGCACCTCATGCTTCCCAGCCAGCTCCTCAAATGCAGCACTTCGCACCTCAGGAAACCAGACACTTCCTAGCTCCCCAATCTGCTCACCAAGTAACCAGACAATTTTTGGCTCCCCAAGCTTCTCACCAAGTTCACCAGGCTTCTCATCCAGCTCAAGTAACAAGACAATATTTGGCACCCGAAGTTTCTCATCCAGTACATCAGGCTTCTCAACCAGCACCCCAAGTAATCAGACAGTATTTGGCTCCCCAACCTTCTCATTCAGCTGCCCAAACTCATGTTGAACACCACCAACACGTTCAACAACCAATTGTGAAAGAAACCATCCACTTTGATGCTCCAGTTCAATCCGTGGAAATCCCAATTGCTGATATTGAATCCCATGAGCCATCAACTTCCAATGACGCTATCAGTATTGAAGCTATTGGCAAATCCTCTCACCAAGAGAGCCACCAGACCTACTCCAATAATGGTGGATACGTGTACTAGGAACTTCCTTCTATTATCATTTTTTTTTTATGACGAAAATGGAAACCAAGAGAAAACTAATGGGATCTTAATGTACAAGCTTACAAACCAAATCAAAGGAAGAATGAGTAGGATGAGTGATAGAGTTACATATTTTTTTTTACAAAGACTTTTATCAAATAGAATAGTGTTTAATCAATCTTTAATCAAATGATCCTATTAGATAGATCTGTGTTCCTTTTAAAAAAATTTTTTTTATCTAGAAAATTTAGTTATTTTGTGTTTGTCTTTGACAATGTGAGTGTTTCTTGTCTGGCATCGTTTCTTTAAAAAAGAAAACGAGCGAGATTGTAAGAAAATGAGACATGTGTTTTTTTTACATAAATAAAATGTTTTTTTATGATATAGAACTTGATTTTTGTTCTTTTCCATATACATATTTCTCTTTTAATACACAATTCTTTTCTATTGTTACAAATTTTCTTATTATGCATATTTTTTTTTATTAATTATTGCACACTTTTTAGGAAGATAGTCATTAATTATTTTACTCAGTACATAGCAGGCACTTTAAAATGATTTTTTTTTTTTTTGCTAATAAATAATGGGTTTTTTTTATTATCGATTTCGGATTAATTTTATAATATATATTTTGAAATATTAATCACCATAAGCTACACTTCTTTTTGGGATTCATATTCGATCCCAAGGGACAATTCCATGCTGAACTGAATTCCTGAGAATTTTTCAAAACTCCTTGAAGTCGAATGTGACCTGGTGAATGTGAATCTTGCAGCATCCACTTTAATGATGAGACTGTGTAACTTTCACACCATAACTGAAACAATAATAATTTTTTGGAATTTTACACTCTTTTCTTCTTAACAAAGTAAATGAAAAACTTTTTTTTAATTTTTCATATTTTCTTCCAATAATAATAATATCGAAAAAAAAATTAAATTACATATATGTATAAAAACAGCTATACAAGTATTTTTTGATCCTTTCGTAAGCTATGAACAATATTTTCAGCTCAATCATTTTACAGCTGAAGGACTAAATTTTAAGAGCCAATTTAAAATTTGAAAAAATTAAAATTTGCTTTTATAGCGTAAAAAAACCTAACTTTAATTTTGCAATATTTCAAATTCATTTTGGATTAAGTGTTTTGATGGAATTAAATTTGCATTGTTGCCTTTAATTTGCTAATAGCAAAAAATTTTAAATATATTGATTTTCTAAAAACAATGAAAATTTATTACATGCGCAAATCCTAAAAACAGAAGTTGCTCATGGGTAAAATTCATAAATCCCGGAAGTACATGTTCTTCTCCGTGTCTGACTGTCCATCGTCTATAGGCAAGAACTGCCTCTTTTAATCCACTATTATCGGCAATATTTTCACCCAAAGTTAATTCTCCATTAACGTATTCATCAACCTGAAATTTATTAAAATTTCTTATTCTTTTATACTCACTAGTTGTATATAAAAAAGTTACTTGTTATCTATATAACAATACTTTTATTTGTTTACCCTAACATAATATTTTTTATTTCTAACAACATTTTCTCTTGTCTTAATAAAATTATCGTTAATTCAACAGAAAATTAGTTACCTCAGCTATATACAATTAAAAAATCTTAATCACAACATGTGATGCACTATGAAGAAATAGGAATCTAAGCATCGTTAAATATTACCAATAATTTTTTTTGCTGGTTATGTCCCTTTTTTCAGAGCTCATCACATATATATATATATAATTATTACTGTCTACAAACCTCTTTCTCGTAAAAAGTATTGTATTGTTCAACGAAACATTTTGTTCTTTCTTTATACTTTTTTATTGTGTCTTTCGTCCACCATTGACGAACATTTCCATTACCATCGTATTGTCGTCCACTATTATCAAAACCGTGTGTTAACTCATGGCCAAGGACTGTTCCAATAGCCCCATAATTTAAGGCTCTGCAATTAATTGTAAGAGATTTTTTTTTAATTTCATCATTTTCGTTTATTATATCTACTATTAGTTCACAAATATATGTATAGTCTTTATATGTTCTAATATAATTAAGTTACATTAGTAAATATAAAGTTTAACACATATGAAACACCTGATGTTATTTGCAATTAATATAATTATCTAGATGTATGCAAGATATAATTTATATATATGAGAGAAATGAATAGTTGAGGCTACTACTTTGCTTTTTTATAGTCTAGGAGGTATTTATTCTGCTGCCCATTCAGTTAGTAAAGTTCAGTAATATTTTTAGTGAATTGTAATATTTTCCATGTCAAACGCAACTATTTAGAATTGTTAAACAGGAAATAATAACCACTCCTATAAGAATAGTTCCTGTTACCATCAATTTAAAAGTTTAACTAGCGGAATAGTTGAGTTTACCATTTTTATTTAGTAAACGTAGTTGGCAGTTGTTAGCAATTCGGTTGGCAACACTGTGAAGCACGCTCATGCTCGTCAAGCAATGTCGTGAGAAAATGTGGTCATTTGTGTTTATGTTCTTATACATTTTATATAATTATACAATTTCTATATAAATTATAAATTATTTTATTGAGTGTTAAAAAAGTGCCATGGATTAGTGAAAGTTTTTAATCTCGGCGGGGATTCAAAGAATATGTAAATCATTTTGAATGTAAGTAACAATTAAACCTATCCTATAAAATTTATTTATTATTATTCACATCATACAAAAAATATGTTTTATATCTTACTTGATACAACAAGAAAGTTATATTAATCTTATAATAAACATATTTTATTGAATTTGAATAATATTAAATAAATATTTGCAATTATAATTATTTTATTTATCGAATTACCTATTTTATTTGTAAGCTCACCTAAATTTTATTAGTAAAGTTAATTAACTAAACGTTATCTGTTTCAATATTTATTAGTTATTGGTACTAACTAAGGTAGTTTCCCTTACTAATAAAATGGCAACGACTATTTAACTTTTTACTACTATAAATGACATCTATGACTATCAAATTAGAAGCAGTATAGTTTTCAATCCAAAATGGTATTCGTAACCATTTCATTAGTTGCCTCAACTACTTTGTTCTCTCGATGTATATATAGTCATAGAACTTTTATTTATTATTTTTCATTACTTCCCTGAAAAAAGTTTGGGATTGATTTTTTGGTAAGTATTATTCTAAGGTATTCCGAAATTTTTTTTTCGAGCCAATCAGTTTTTATCTGAATCTAAATTCTATACATAAGTTGACAAAAAATTCTTTTCGGACGATTATAAATCAATCTGTTTCAATTTAAAGCTTAATTTTATTCCTTTTGAATCCTTAAATTTCATTCTAAATCACTACGAATTAACACGAAGAGAAATTTTAATCCTTTTAAATTATGAAATTTCATTTCGAATCAATTCAGGCCAATTGATTCGGAATGAAAAAACAGAATCGAAAAGAATTAAAATTCAGCTTCAGAATGAAACCGATTGATTTGAGAAGAATATTTTTTAATTTATATTAAAATTTATATTCGGATAGAAACTTATTAAAATGTAATCCAACACTTTCGTCATGATTATACTTAAATCACTCACACCCAGAGAAATATTTTATTGACGTTTATTTAAGGGGGGAACACCAGTTGTAACTTTCGAAAAATCGATTTTTTTTTTGGTGCATTTTCTTAAAGTATACATATTTAGAAATGTGTCTGTAAATTTCAAAGTTGATCCGGTGAAAAATAAATGAGATATACAGAACACTGCAGCGGCGCGTCCCGTGGCTTCATACAAGGTGGCCAGCCATACCTGACCCTAACGACAGATGGCCTTTTCCTATGATTTAGAAACGGCAACCACTGCGGAAGAGTTATTATATGGTCCAGGAATCGATGACTCTTTGTAACTTAGAAACAAAATTTCTTCTGAACAAAAAAAAGTAAGTTGAAACTTTTAATGCGTTTTTCTCAAAATGACATTTTCCAAGTCGGTGACCATGATTAGTCGAATACCATTAAACCGATTTATTTAAAATTTAGTGTGCTTCATTTACACATATAAGTCGAAGGATTTTTTTTTTTAATCAAAACTTTTTTTTATATAGCTGAAAATCGACCGTATTTTTTTAACGAAAATCATACTTTTGACTTTGACAGGTCGCCATTTTGTCAAATTTTTTTTTTTTTTTAAATCCTTCGATCACGAACTAGATAATCTTATAATAAATGTAAATCAATTTCATTTTTGTATTTCAGACGAAGTATACTTGCAGAATGCTGGTCACCGCAATTCGCCTTTTTTCTTAAGACGCCACTTCAATGGCTCATATCTCCAAAAGTTTTTGTTAAAAAAATTTTTTTTTTTCTTTTAAATTACAGCTTTTTACATGTACTTTTAACTAATAAATAGTATTCTTTAAAAAGATTCATTGTTCTTTTGGAAAATATTCTTGAAAAAAGCATTATTTTTTGAGTTACAACTGGTGTTCCCCCCTTAAGACAAATATATTTTTTCTCTGGGTACATTACTTATTGGTTTACATTAGCTGATAAATGTTATATTATTGCAAACAACACTTCTTACTCAAGACCCAAGTCGTAAAATGGAAACTGTAAAATTCCAGCTGGAACAGCTGCGTCCATATCGAAATATTTGTATTATTTTTTTTAGAAAAAATTATAAATTTAAATAATTTTTTAAAAATAAAGTTATTTTTAAATAATAAATAATTGAATATATAATAATTTATTATATATTATATTATTAAAACATAATTTTTAGATAATCAACTATAATTTATAATTATCAAAACTTACTTATTTGATTTGCTTGAAAAGTATGAAAGGCATTCACATTCGTTGGATCAGTAGCCCAACTAATGACGAATTAATTTATTATTTCTTGAAATTAATTTCGTTTTCATTAAATTATATTAATCTCTTGAAATATGTGACTTTTTATATTTTTTTTTTTGTTTTATTATAATAAAATGTAAAAAAAATGACTGCATTATTATTATTAAACAATAGTTTGAATTTTTGAACATAACTTACTATGGTTCATCATCGGGATTGAATTCGTGAAGATTTTTTAATTCTGAATTACTTTGAATTCGAATTATCTGCATCATATTTGACATATATTCAAAAACCGTGAGATCTATCTGGAAATAACCAATTTTTGATAATATTAATAATAATTAGTTTAAAAAAAGACAAGATATTGTTTTATTATACAATAAATAGACGTGGCATTTAATTACATACACCTTCATAATAATCATTGATAGAGTCTTCATTAAACAACCAAAATGGATATCCAATTAGCGATGACATTTTTTTGTTTTTCTCTAACGTTGCAATTTTTGTTTTTCTATCCATCCAATCTGATTCAATTACCATTGTTGCAAAAGCTTCTTTAATGTCGTCTACCATTTCCTTTACTTTTGGTCCAGTTTCATTGTGAAAATTACGTTCCACAAATAACCAGGAAACTGCCATTCCTGAAAATTTATAATTATAACAAATTATAATCAGATTCTTGTCTTTTAAAAAAATATATTCATTAATGAAATTAAATAATTTTAATTTTATAAAATTGTTTATAAATTTTTAACTATTTTTATTAAAACTATTCGCACCCATTAAATCATTCACAGCCGTAGCACAATTAATAGACCTAGATTCACCAATTTCAACTTCCATTATTTCATCTAAATAATAAGACCAAATTTTTCGTAGATCCTTAGAAGCAAACGGAGTTAAAATATCTATAACACTCCACCATATAATGGTTTCTGAAAATAAAAAATTTATCAATTTTTCATTAAATATTAATTCTTAAAAAAAAATCTAATCCGATTATGATTATTATGAATAAAATTTTATTATTTATTAAACAAATAATAAAATAATAGATAATATTCTTTAAAAATTCACCTAACAATTCATCTTCAGTAGAAGATAATATATAGGCAACTTTTTTTAAATACTCTAAATCTGCAACTAGCACAATATCTTTTTTATTCAATGTTAAAATATCTTTAAAAACTTCTTCAATAAATGGTCTCCAAATTATTTTCGGTTTCAATGACGAATTAACAGATATCACATACTCGTCTGTTAATTTTTGCAAATCCTCAAATTCCATATAATTGTCATCTGATAAATCCTCTTCCGTTATTGATGTACTATTGTCTGCATTTTTTAACTAAAATAATAAAATTAATTAAAATATTAAATATGACTAAAATGGTTATTAATTAAAAAATATGTTAAGTTCCATTTTATTAATGCAATATTCGTGCTTCATTTTTATTTATTGTAGGAATGTTTAATGCCTCTGCTCTATGGGGACTGCTATGAAATTGTTCTTACTTTTTTGACAGAAATGAGTATTAAAGGTTAAGAGAAAATAAAATTATACCGAGTACAATGGTTCGTATGGACCATGCCATCCATTTTCGGAATAAATAATCGAATCTATTACTGATGGGACAAATATTAAAGTACAGAAAACCGAAATATGTCTGTAATAAACTGTCGCAGAAAAATGTATCGGTTTTTATATAGAATTTCCAAGTTTGTATACCCTCCTGTATATAGATGACGGAGCAAAGATGACGACGTAATTATTTGAAATAGCCAATAAACATATTAAATAATATATATCGTCACTGTTACCAAATTTGAATTAAATGGCTTGATAATGACCAATAAGAAATTAATTAGTGCAAATAAAATGCGTTAATTCTAAAATTAGTTGATGTGTAATCGATTCAAATTATTTGATTAGGTGATTGGCCGCGATGACCTCATAAAACACTATATGCATGTGTTTACAGAGTGCGATAAAAATGCTACATTGTGTCGGTCTTCTACTCTTATTCTTTGTCGCACCGGACGACTTTTAATGGCCACAGTAATGTCGTAACAGTCTTGACCTCTTATGAACTTTAATTGCCGCATTGGTTTATACTACATTTCTTAATTTTTGTATTAATTTTAAGTTTAACATAACTATGTAATAATCAAATATACACACTAAAAAAGAAATCTTGATTTCAGCCTATTTTTGAGGCTGAATTTAAGGTGTAAACGGAGTCAGACCAATTAAAAAAGGACAGACTTATGCAAAATATATGGGCTTAATTTAAGATGTAAACGGTTTAAGACTTTGTTTTTACTGTGTACTATGCAATGTTATACAATATTATGTATTTTACATAATATTATACCACACTAACATAATAACATTATTATTATTATTTTTCGATATTTTAAATAATAATTGAGGACACCAATGCAATAACCAGACGGACGCTCGGACCGGCCGCGCTGAAGCCAGTCAACGAATGAAAAAGTCGAAAAAATTAAAATTCAAAATTTTGATTTTTGAAATATACTACGTTGTAGAAAATAAAACGGCGCATCTCTTTTTCCTTTAACTTTTTTTTGTAGAATGAATAGTTTTGACAATAATTGCAAAAAACTAAATATTTTCAATTAACAAATTTTATTGAATTTTTAAACACAAATCGTTCCAGTTCCGACAAATATTAATTAATTTACTTCAACTTTGGTATACCCACGCATTTAGGTCTAGAGAAGACGATAGCATGATGAAAAAGTTAAAAACCGTAAATTATTTAATTATTTATTAATTTAAATAATAACTTACCTGTATTCTCGTTTTCCTATCTTCGCCGACAAAAAGTATGTGGGGATCTTTTTCGTTGAAAAAACTTACAGTGAGATGTTTGTTCCTCACATATCGAAAAAGTTTTGTGGAAAAATTCAGATCGATTTATTCAAAACTGACGAAGATACACAATTTTTAATGAAAAACACGCAACGCCAATCAAAATAATTCCGCGATCCACGATCCACTCTGCCAGACGGCATTGTCGATAAGGTCGATGTTCAGCAATATAAACACACAAATCAGCCAAAGCGTTGCGTGTTTTTCATTAAAAATTGTGTATCTTCGTCAGTTTTGAATAAATCCATCTGAATTTTTCCACAAAACTTCTTCGATATGTGAGGAACTAATGTCTCACTGGAAGTTTCTTCAACGAAAAAGTTCCCCACATACTTTTTGTCGGCGAAGATAGGAAAACGAGAGTACAGGTAAGTTATTATTTAAATTAATAAATAATTAAATAATTTACGGTTTTTAACTTTTTCATCATGCTATCGTCTTCTCTAGACCTAAATGCGTGGGTATACCAAAGTTGAAGTAAATTCATTAATATTTGTCGGAACTGGAACGATTTGTGTTTAAAAATTCAATAAAATTTGTTGATGGAAAATATTTAGTTTTTTGCAATTATTGTCAAAACTATTCATTCTACAAAAAAAGTTAAAGGAAAAAGAGATGCGCCGTTTTATTTTCTACAACGTAGTATATTTCAAAAATCAAAATTTTGAATTTTTTCGACTTTTTCATTCGTTGACTGGCTTCAGCGCGGCCGGTCCGAGCGTCCGTCTGGTTATTGCATATTGGTGTCCTCAATTTTGAAAAAGATTTTGTGAAAACGTAACATTTTTGTTTATAAATAATTAAGATAAACTATTATTTATATAGAAATCTAATTACCTTATAAAATACTTCACCAAGGTCATAAATATGATTAACCACAATACTAATTTCATCTTCGCGAGCAAAGGAAGACACTGTTTTTGATTTACATGTTCTATATTCCACTGTTCCATTACTAATTACTTCTTTAATAGCATCTATCATATAATTTTTTTCTATCGTTGCTGAAAATTCTTCTAATTTTAATTCATCTTCAAAATTGATCATTTGATTTTTTAGTTTCTGTAAACGCATTTCTATTTCTTTATCACTGAAAATAAATTATAATGGTATTAACGTTAGGTTCATAAGTGAAAAAGTAAATATATTTCTAAATAAAAAATTAATATAAAAAAGAAAATTACTTTGGAAATGGAGTCTCTATTGCTGGTGTATCAAGAATTATAGTATTTCGAGATTTGTTTCTAGGATCAGGATAAACATCCATGCCAAAAAATATATCCTTTCCAAGAATACGCTTAACCCTTGCCATTTGCCGAACAAAGTTTGTTTTCTGTTTTGTGAAGGCTGCAGGAATTTGCGGCAAATCTAATTCCTTCAGTAAACTGAACAAAGGCACAAGTCCCCAGGCATTTATGGAATCTAGAAATAATATAATGTTTGCTGAAAATTATATAGTATGCTAAAAATTGGAAATGATTTTAGAAAACTATATTTTGTTAATGTATATGCGTATGGAACCCTTACAAGACCGTCTAGTCAAGATAGTCTTAAGTGCTAATCGGAAAATCATTGGACATCGACGATAGATTTTCGAGACCAATTTCCTTCCAACCGATAATTTGTGAAATAATTGGGGCAGTTGTGTCATGATGCCCCGTGATAGTCAGCTGCCCTACGTGGGTTATCCCACCGTAGTCAGTAGTACATCTCCCAATGACGTAAAAACAATTTTTTTCAGTCATTTTCTCCCAACTGAAAATTGGTCAGATGATAGTTTACATCATAACTTAAAGAAATAAAAACGTCCGCTGAATGTAGCATGGTGGATTATACGTCAGTTGGCCATCCAAAGATGTAAAAAAATTATGTTTTCAGTGATTTCCTCTCAATTGAAACTTAGCCAAATGATTGTTTACATCTCAATTGGAAGAAATGAAAACGTCAGCTGGGTTATTGAATAATGTGTGCGTCAAGAGCCGGGTATCAACAGGATAATGCAATGAAGTAATTTTATTAGTTAAAATTCAAATAAAATTACGAGTTTTAATTATATATTAATATAATTTTAATTATATATATTATAATTTATAATATCTTATCTGATTTATTTCGAAATTCAGAAATTTTAACGTACTTTAGTTCTTGCAAATGAAAATGTATATTATTTTTTTATAAAATTTATTTCAGGACAAATTACCTTTACAATAATATATTCTATCCAAACATATATACGCTAAATTTATTTTGAATTAATAAATTAAATAAAACGATGTTTTATTATATTTATTATTATTTTATGCTCCATTTATATATAACAGACAATTAAGATATTGATTTAATTAAAATAAAAAAATCTTTCAACCTATTGCACGTACAAGGTGTTGAATTTCAAATAACTTTGGAGGCGTTATGTTTATCATATAAAAATTCCTGTGATGTTTGTTGATTTATCATATTATTATACATCATGTATTATATACTTTATTATATAGACATCATTATCTACTATTTGCCAGGCGAAAATTTTGTCAACTAACTTCTATATACATATAAGCGATAACTGCATATGCGCGGCTCTTGAAGCGCACCGTTCACTGACCCAAATGCCGATGTTTCCACCCACATACAGCCAGCTGACGTTTTTATTTCTTCAAATTGGGATGTAAACAATCATCTGGCTAAGTTTCGATTCAGAGAAAATCACTGAAAACATTTTTTTTACATGTTCGGATGGCTAGTTGACGTATAATCCACCATACTACACCCAGCTGATGTTTTTATTTCTTTAATTTATGATGTAAACTATCAACTGACCAATTTTCAGTTGGAATTGAAATGACTGAAAAAAATTTTTTACGTCATTCTCCAACTCACAGCCGGTAGTGCAGATGACGATTACGAGGATTCATGACACAACTACCCCAATTATTTCACACAAATTATCAGTCGGGAGGAAATGATGGACTAAAAATTATATTTATATATATTATATATATATATATATATATATTATATATATATTATATATATATATATATATTTATATATATATATATATTTATATTAATTTATGAAAATAATTTAAAAACTCCTAATCAAAGTAATTATACTACCTTATAAAAATAAAAACGATTTATAAAATAAAATTTTTAAACAGTTTCATTTAAAGTACATTTATATTGAAAAACATACCCATTTAACTGAAATGTATAAAAATACATGTTAAAAATATAGTATGATCTAAGAAATCAATCAGAAAAGATTCCGAATTAACCTTTTATGTGTTTCTCATTAGAACTGCACGAAAAATTCAATAAGAACAATCTTGCTTTGTTATTTCAATAAGCATTATAAGAATAAAGGAGGCATCGACATTACTCTACTAAGAATACTACTTCTAATGCAAATTAAAATAATAATTTCAATACAAAAACTAATTATTGAATTATATTACAATATAAAGAATTTGAAATAATTATATGGCTTTCTACAACTAAAGGAATTTGTTATTCGTACCTAATATAATATAATTAAATTAAAATAAAAATCTATGTTAGTATCAGAATTAAACAATTTTTTACATTTGTTTAAAATGAAAATTTTTTATTAAAAAAGTAAAATTTTATTCGGTACAATTAAAAGATTTTTATTTTAAATATGCATTATTTTAGCTCTGAGACCAATATATTTTTTTCTCTGAGTGCATGCAAAATGTTGTTAAAATTTTTAGTATTGAATTTTAATAATAAAATAAATAAAAAATTATATATTAACTTTACAAGCGGTAACAGAAAAAATATAAATATATAAATAAAAAAAAGTTTTGTGTAAAACTGACCTAAATCCATGCAACTTTTGTACAATGTCTTTGCCTGCTCAACTGCCCAAGGAACGTGATCAGTGGAATTCTCGCGCAACAAATCTCTAATCACTCTTGTTACTCTTTTACTTCTTTCACTAAACCAGGAATTGGTTAAACTACTCTCAGGTAATGGATGTATTTCAGGCCATCTACCACAGGCGTACCTATAGAGAGACGTTATCTTAAACGTGCACTGACATTTTATGCACTACATACACCGTAAAGGAAGTATGAGCAACTATAGTTTATGTATGAATATTGTATATATATTACATTCATGATGTAAGTTTTCAGTTATGTATTTAATTCACACCACTACCAATTTCACATAGTTATAATATACTACTTATTCACAACACTGTAAATATATAAATATCATATTACATAAATACTTTCTCCGTATAAGTATATCAGTCTACTTACAAGTTACACTTTGAAAAGAAAAATTACAATTTTTCTTATCCTTTAGTCAAATTTCTTTTTTGCAAAAAATCACATTTTCCTAATATTTGATTTTACTTTTAAGTCAGTAAATTTTTAATTTCTTTTATTATATAAGAAATTTAAAGTTTATATATTTAAAAACTCACATAAGTTATTAAAAGAATATTATAAAAAATTTTATCAAAAACAAATGTTTTTTTCTATAATTTTTTGATTAATAAACATTGAAAATTTAAATTTTTTTATATCTTTCTATATTACCGACCGGATAAAGAGTTAACTATATGTTAGTACAGCACTGACAGTGTTTTAATTTTTCTTTTTGCAGATGGCTTGTAGTGTCACGTACTTCAAAGATAAAAGCAAAAGTAAACAAGGAGGTGATCCTTTATGTTTATTTCATAAACATTTTGCTTCCTCATTGTGTGAAGCAAAAATGATATCTTGGAGGACACAGGATACTTTTTAGCATACTAAAGCATACTTTTTAAAACTCGGTCTATTTTTACGGTTATTTTTCACATTTTCTTAATTGAAATTTAACTTGAAAGTAGGGATCTCCGAGGACTATTTAGTTTGAAAGAATCTTCTTGAAGCTGAAAATTTGTTATAAAGGTAAATAATTTAATTTATTACAAAAAATTTAGTTGTATTTTTTATTTAACTTGAAAGTAAGGATCTCCGAAAGCTATTTAGTTTAAAAGAATCTCCTTAAAGCTTAAAATTCATTATTAAGGTAAATAATTTAATTTATTGGAAAGATTTTATTACAAAAAATTTAGTTGTATTTTTTTATTTAACTTGAAAGTAAGGATCTCCGAAAGCTATTTAGTTTAAAAGAATACCCTTGAAGCTGAAAATTCGTTATTAAGGTAAATAATTTAATTTATTGGAAAAATTTTATTACAAAAAATTTAGTTGTATTTTTTGCGTTCATATCGACTGTCAGAACTTGAAAACTATAAGTCCTATTTTCAAGATTTTTGTGTTATTCGATTAAAAAATTAAAAAAGACATCACGATTAAAATTCTCAGTCCTTATAATGAATACAGACCCCGATATAATTTTTTATTTAATTATAACTATTCCCAATCAAAATTGGTATTTATTAATGTAATATGATAGTTATATAGGAGTTGAAAGGAAATTATAATGAAATAATAAATTTAAAAACCCGGTTAATTGAAATGATGTCGGAAATGAGCGTCTAACAAATTACATGTATTGAAAGACTCTATTATTAATTCACACTTGTAAAGCAGTTATTAATCATTCCATTTTGTATCCCACGAAAGGAGTATTCATGTTCTAATAATTATTCTAGAAATATCTGTTTATACTGATAGAACAAAATTATCAAATTTTATAAAAGTATTATTAGGATTGAATGGACTATAAAGCAAAAATTTTTAATTAAAAATAAAAAAAAAAGTTAAAGCTTATGGGTAATTCAGACAATTAAAGCAATTAATGTTTAAATTAATATCAATAAATATTTCATTGTCATAGTAAAATTTTTTCTTTAAATACAAAATAAATATATAATAATTCTGTGAAATTGATAGAATTAAATATATATATTGTTATGTTGAATTAAAAATAATTGATTTTGATAATTTTAATTCGCTCAATTAAATTTATAATATATGTATTAAAAACAAATTCACATTTAAATTAACATTTGAATAAGAAAAATATTTTAGGAGATGTGAGATAAAAATACAAAATAAATTATACAATTCTTTCTCAAAAAATATTAAATAAATTGAATTTCATGCCAACGATAATAAATCTTTCTTTACAAAATAATATCATTGACAATATAATTAGGTGCAAAAAAACTTAACCATTAGAAAATTGAATCATATCAGAAAATCTAAAACTTGAAGTACAATAAAATAAGCTAAATAGATATTTAAAAAAAAGTCAATTTAGAAATTTTGCAATTTACTCACTTGTAAAAGTCATCACAAGGATCTACAGAAGTATCCATAGATTCCTTAAGACTAGCAGCTTTATTGCAATAAATATTTCCGTGAGAATCGATTCAATAAAGAAAAAGAGTGAATGATATTTAATTTAAGGGGTCATTAATATAATTTTTTTTATACATATCTATATTATATATAGAAAGTGCTTACCAATTCGCACGCAGTCCTCGTTATCACATAAATCAATCCAATTTATTCTTGCATCTATAAAAAATAATGACATTTATTGAATCTTTAAGAGCTGCAATTATTTTTTGGGAAAAAATAAGAACTTTAGTATATATATATTATCATTAGTGACATTAAAAGGATTATAAAATGAATAAAGTACATGAATAAATAAATCAATCTCTACAAATTACAACATAATTGCATCACTTTATTGAAATTTTTACAAAAAAAAAACCTTTAATATACGAGAATATTATTATTGCTAGTAAAATTATTTTTAATCTGTATACGATTGTACAAAAAAAATTATATCAATTTATATTAAAAAAGCCTAATATTATTATGTCTTTAACTTGAAAACATAAACTAATGCCTTCCTATTAATACAAGTCAATAACTCAGTCAATAGATCCATTGAGGTAATTTAATAACTAAAAAATGAAGCTATAAATACAAAAGCCTTTTATACTTATATACTATACTTTTATACTTTATACTTTATATTTTATAAATTCTTAATATGATTTCTAGTAGACTTAATTTAGTATTCAAACGTAACAATTTTCGGGGAATATCATTTATAAATCATCAAATGAAAAAACTTGTATAATAAAGAAATAATAAATTAAATAGTAAAATTTTAAAAAAATATCATATTAATAAAAGAAATGCAAAAAATAAACAAAAAATATAGTAATTGAAAAATAATAAGTTAGGAATTATTTAAAAAATTTAATAATTCTTCAGAAAATAATTAATACTATTAGATTAATTTTTTAATCAATAAAAATTTTTAAATTTAAAAATAAATTGTCGAGAAAGTTTTACCGGAAAAAAGATCAATGACTTCAAATATATATATATATATATATATATATATATGCGTATAGTACAAAGCTAAGACTGAAGAAGCTTTATATAATGGCAAATGTCTATGTCAAGGACTGAAATAAACCTTGACAATTATACGCATTCTCAATCAAAGTGTATACTATATAATTGATAATATTTATTTTTTGCAAAATTAGACAAAAATTTTTTAATTTAATGTAAATAAAAATTATATACACTGAAAAAAAATTTATTGAATTCAAATAATCAGTTACTTGATTATTATCAAATAAATGTTTATTTGTAACAAATAATTATTATTTGAGTCAATTAAATGGAATTTGTTTCAAATTAGGGATGGTAAAATCGAAATCGATTATAAGCAAAAATTGAATAGTAGGTGTCGATTAATCGAATAATAGAAATCGATTAGTAAGATATACTAATCGACAGTAGTCGAATACTCTATTCGATTAATCGGCAAAAAAGCGTGGCAAGTTTTGGAAACACATTTTGGCTCACAACATGAGCGGTTAATCGTCCCTGCCACAATCAGATTCTACAACGACCGTCAAATGTCTATTAACGACTTTAATGGTTAAACCGGTTAAACTAAGAAGACAAGTGAATGATAACAAAGCTTTTACCCATGTTTTACCACAGTGGTGTTTGCCAAAATTTTTAGGAATCATGATACATGCACTTTATTATTAAAATTGGTTAGTAGAAACAAGAAATTATGAAAAAAAATCAGTTAATTTTTTTCAGATTTTTTTTCTTTTTCGAATATTAACTAAATAATTTTATACTTTTCAGATTTATTATAAAAAATTATTGAATGTTAATAATTTAATTTTATAATTGTTTGTTGAAATAAATGCTTTCTTAATGATAAATTATGAATTTATTTATTGAAAATTTTTTCGTTAACGCAATTTTTTACCTATTTATGGATTTAAAAAAATCGAATAAAGTCAAATATATTCGAATTTTAGTGTCGATTAATCGACTTCTTTTTACTGTTCTAGAAGATTCGATCGATTAAACGATATTCGATTCCCATCCCTATTTCAAATACAGTTTATTTAATTCAAAATAAAAATTATTTGATTCAAATAAATATTTATTTGATAATAGTCAAGTAACCGATTAATTGAATCAATTTAATTTTTTTTTCAATTTAATAATAATGATAATTATTATTATTATTATAAGTTTAATGAAATTTAATTACTCACAGAATACCAGTAAAATGATGACAGTTATTAATAAACCAACAATAAGAAGAAATGTTAATATATTTCCAATGCTGAATTTCTTCTTTCTTGTTTTAAAACTGTAAAAGTGATTAAACTTTGTTTTAGGCTCAAAAAATTGCATAAGATGTGCATTGAAACTTCCGGTAAAATCGGATGTTTAATAATAATTTAGCGATATTTCGGAAATTAGTTATTAATAATAATAATTAGTACGTAGTATATAATCAACATTAATTATTATTATTATTTTATATTCTTACTAAGTCTTCCTGGATTTTATGGGCACTAAATGTTTTTCACTGTTGATGGAATATATGGATTGTGAATCTAAGTAGAATAAAAAAGAGAAAATAAATTATTATTTTAGAAATTAATATATAAATAACTACAACTATTAAAATAGATAAATAATGAGTGTCATTCGTTAGTTTATAAATCTTTGACCCGATTTAATAAAATTGTAATCAATGCATACCTATAATAAGTTACTTATTTTAAATATTAATTATACACGTATACTTTTTCAACAAATTTTATGCCACATTATAAAAAGAATCAAACCCTAAATTTAAATAATTTATTAATTAGAATTATTTTGTAGTAATTAATTAATAATTATTTAATAATTGAATTATTAACAAATAATTAAAAAAAGGAAAAATAAAATACGAATTTTGAAAAAAATTCATTTTTACTGTAAATTTAGTTTTGCCTGACACAACTGAAGAAAAATTTATTTGATTCAAATAATCAGTCACTTGACTATTATCAAACAAATATTTATTTGTATTAAGTAATTATTATTTGAGTCAATTAAATTGCATTTGTTTCAAATACATAAATTATTGGTCTAAATACAGATTATTTAATTGAAATAAAAATTATTTGGTTTAAGTATAAATATTTATTTGATAATAGTCAAGTAATCGATTATTTGAATTAAATTTTTTTCATTTTTGAATCTATTAATACATTTTTAAAAATTGGCTTATTTATTTAATACATAACTTTAAGCATTTTTTACTCATTTAAAAAAAAAATGAATTAATTTTAAGTTGTATCGAATATTGAAGTTAAAATATTTTAAATTCTATTTAAGAATTCGCTCTTCAAAATACATAAATCTTGAATACCAACCAATGAGACATATAGAATTTAGAGGGAAAAATTCAATTTTTGTTTTATTTTTCAATACGCGCAAAAAGTAATTTCACAATTAAAAACCGCATAAATTTTAAATAATCAAATCTCAAACATGTTTAAATGCAATGAATTTTTTTTGTGTATCGCGAATATATCGTTGTGCATTTTCAAAAATGAAAATTTGAATTAAAATTTTTATAAAATCATATTCTTACCGCGTTGGTTGTTCATGCTGAATGGCCCACTGACCGGATCGAACTGACGACACTGAACGCGACCTCAAGGTACAAGCAAGTCTCCTATGCATTCACATTTTCTTCTGATGTCAATGTTTCCCTCAATCCCAATCATCTTCATTATGTAATGTGCCAATTAGAAAAATTTTTTTTTCTCTTTAATTTACGCGTTTTCATATGCATTTTTGCGTTTTAAAATGAAGAGAAAAATAATTAAAAGATTCATTGCACCTATATAAAATGTATACTTCTATTAATTAAATTAAAATTAAAAGCAATTAATTAACATTTTTTAAATTAACAATGAATTAGCAATTAATTTTTTACATTGAAAAAAAAATAATTGAAAAAATTGTTTAGGTAATTTATATCATCTTTATGTAAACTTTTAAATATATAACAATTTTTGGTTCTTATTTTAAATAATAGATTAGGGGAGGATGGGGCAAGGATAGTTAGTGGCTCTATTGCCTAGACGGCTTGTTCAAAAAGGGCACCATTCATCATATATACTTGTTTTAACACCAAAAGACGTCAAGAAAAATTTGATCTTGATGCGATATCATTTGTGGAAGCTACGTGTTTATTTGTGAAAATCCTGTTTTTTCTAAAATTTTTCAGTTCTGTTTAAAACACTGTTTCAGATATTAACTGTTTTAAATATTTATTTATGTCCAAAAAAATTTTTTGGTAGTGCTTTGAAGTGTTTTGAGGTTTTCGAACGATACTATTCTTTTTCCGATGCCTGTTGAATTTAATTGCTAGATCCAAAAATGTCTTACCTAACTATCCTTACCCCCATCCTCCCCTAATATTGTGCCTATACAATGTAACTTAAACTTTCTTATTTTTATTGTCACTGACAACGAGAAAAAAATTGTTAAATTTCAAAAAAGTGCAAAAATCCATAAATATCCTCGAATTCAATAAAAGTTATTAAATAATATTTTTATTTTATTATTTTACTCTATAGTACTAAATAAAAAGTTTTCTTTAATTTACAGACAAAGAAAATAATTATGTTATTCTTATTAAAAGAACAATTTGTTTCATAATTGCCCCAAATGCGAGGCAATTATGGAAAAATATTTAAATTTAAATAGCTTCGTCAACAAATTTTTTTTTTTTTGTTAAGGAAATTTCCAAATTTTTGAAGGAAATTTTTAGAAGAGTCCATAATATATTTGAATAGTTAAAACAAATTTTTTTAACAATTTAGATTTTCTGTGAAAAAATTATGTTTTTTGTTCCATAATTTCCCCTGTTGACAATATTGTAATTCACTTAATTTTATAATTAATGTAGCTAATTAAATTTTTTCTTTCCTCTCTGAATATTCATTTGAATTTATTTTTTTTATCCAGAAAATCTTTTTTCAACTTTTTTATAATCCCAAGTAGATTTTATTTGGAAATTTTATTCAAAAGAAATTTTTTTTTTTTCCAATATCAAAGTATTAGCGTTTTATACAATAAGATTTTATACTTTATTAAAGGTTTCTTTCTTTCATTCAACAAAACTTTTCTATATACATATACATATTACCTATACCTGTCTTTATCTGAAACAGAATATTGACTTACTGTTAGTGAGCATATATATATATGGGAAATTTCACGCGAAGTGATCAAAGTGAAAAAATAAATGCTCTCATGCTTAAGTAATTTTTACAATTAAATATTGAAATGAAAAAAAAATCCGATATCAGTTTCGATAGCATTTTTGACGCCCTTTCGATTGGTAAAATACATTTTTGAAAACATAATTTTTTTTATTAAAAAAGAAATGAAAATCTGAAATAAATTTAACTTTTTTGTTAAGTAACATATTCTTTTTATTTTTTCTCTTTTTAAACGAAAGTTTACGTTCTTTCCTGTATTCATTTTCAAATTTTTTTAAAATACATTTTATTAGGGGAATATACATATTAGGGTTGGACACTTCGCTTTTCTGAAAATAAGAACACTAGCGCCATTTATGCACGGACATCAGACTGACGGACATAACGAAGCTTCTCGTAGTGAAACCTAAATTTTTGTGCCATTACATTTTTGGAGGATCAAAAGTAGCGTCTGCTGTGACGTCAGTGCATTTGTAGGAACGAAAAAAGTTTTGTGAGCAATGTGATTAAACATAAAAAATGAATAAAGAAAACAAGAAATCGGCAAGGCAAATTTATTGCATGTATTGTGGGGTTCATGATTGAAGAAAAAATGAAGTGAAGAATCGAATCGCGAAACATGTCTGATTATGGTTAGCACAATTCGAAAATGTTAACTTAAAAATCTTTTTCAGTAACGTTATAAATAATATTAATTGTCAATTATAATAATAATAATAATAATAATAATAATAATATTAATAATAATAATGTAAAAATGAGAAATAAACATAAAAAATGTTTTCAGTAACGTTATAAATGTTATTTTATTTTTGTACTCATAATTTGCTTCGATTTTCACAAAGTGTCCAACCCTGAGTATAATGTCCAACCCTGACTAGATTTTTTTTTAAAATGAGAACTTTTTTAATTTTAAATCAATCAATTTACGATCTTCAGTAAAAATATTCATCTTTTGTACATATTTCTAACAATATAACTAAATTGACTAAATTTATTTTTTTAAAAAAGATTATAAAGAAAGTCCAAAACGGTCTCCAACCCTGAGTATATTCCCCTAATCGAAAGAGCATCAAAAAAGCAATCGAAACTGATATATTAAACAAATTTTTTATTTCATTATTTAAGAAAAAAAATTATATAAACCTCTGCCTCTCCCACAGAAAATGTAATAAATATAATATATAATAATATATGAAAATATAATAAATATAATAATAAATACTAAAAAATAAAAATACGAGACATCTGGTAGTTTATTAAAAAAAATATTAATTACAATTTTTTCTACCATAGTCAGAGCAGCCATATTGATTCTTTATTTTGTGTAAATAATTATTATAAAATAAATTATAATTATAGGAATCAAATAAAAATTTTCTGAATATATTACTTTGAATATACTCAACAAAATGTTCATTTGATTCAATCTAAATTTTAGTTATTTTGGTTCAACAAAATTTTTGCCTTTATTTAAAAAATTTATTGAAATAAAAAAAAACAATTTATTTAAATTAAATAAATTCAAAAATTATTTGTATCAATAATTGAGTCTAAAGTATAAAAAACATAAATTCTTTAATCAATAAAATCGGTAATATAAAAATTTGAATCCATATTTCTGAGCGTGGACGAGAAATGAAAATTCTCATCTATTATTATATAGGATATACCTGTAATTAAATTAAAGTCTCATGTGAGAAAAACATGTTTTTGCTTAAAGAACATGTTCCATTTTCATTTTTCTATATTGCTGGTTATTCACCAATACCTTCTTATTAGGCAATATTATTCATGTGTGGTAAATAAACCAGTTCGCCAAAATGGTAAACGAATTATCGTAGTGGTGCAAGAAAATTATGCTTGAGCTGAGAATGCACCAGTAATTGCAAAAAAACGTTATAGAAGGAATATATATATATATATATATATACGTATATATAAACATATAAGGCCTGCAGGCGAATTTTATTATCCTCCCTTTCAATGCCTACTTTTGCACTTTTTCTAAGTTCTTAAGTGTGTAAAGAATTCACGGCTCTATAAATGACTGTATACATATATTCCACTTTTGTATTCATATTTGCATTTGTTTTCGAAATACAATCACAAATTATATACGAAAACACTTTATATATTGCAAATAAGAAATATAACCGTTCTACTGAGAAATAATAAATTTTATATATATCTGATCCAACTATAGTATGGTATAATAGTATATTTAAATAAAAAATTTGATTTGCATTATACAGTCGCACAAATCCAATATCTTTATTTTAGTTTTATTTTCTATTATTGATATAGATTCCTATATTTATTAATTTTGACTTTATTCTTGTAATATTTCAAATATTATATTATTTTTCACTTTGACTATTTCGTTTATTTATTCTTTTTATAATTTCCTTAATAAATTTCTGAGCATTCAAATGAACATAATCATTTTTTTGGTCTATTTTTTAAAAATTACTATAGCAATGAAAAACAACAAGAAAATTACATTAAACATTTAATAAATTATTGACATATTTTTAAATACAAAAAGCAATATTTTAGAATAAAATTTGAAATTAAAAAAAGTAGTAAACAAATTTTTCGTTACTTTAAACGTTCAGAATTTTAGGCACATCCATAATATTTATAATTTGTATATTTTTAAATAATTAATTATATTATAAAATTTTATAGAAAATGATCTCAGTATGAATTAATTTTTGTTTTATTAGTTATTTTACTATTAGGCAAAATATTGAAAGAAAAAAAATTATTTGATTCAAATACTCGATTACTTGACTATGATGAAATAAATATATTTATTTGTAACAAATAATTATTATTTGAATCAATTAAATGGTATTTATTTAAAATGCAGAAATTATTGGTTCAAATAAAATTTAATTAATTCAAATAAAAATTATTTGGTTCAAGTAAATATTTATTTGATAATAAGTCATCGAGTATTTGAATTAAATAAATTTTTTTTCAGTGAATAATCTTTTTTAAACTAACTACTCGTGTATAAATATTTTTAAATTCTACTTATAAAAATAATATTTTATTTCTAAAGAAAGAAATGTTTATTTAAGAAAATTCAATTATAAAATTTGTGAAAAAAATTTATTTTATTTTATTATTTCCGTTTTTCTACAAAAAAAAGGTTATCTATAAAGCTACCAAAAATGTGAAAAAAAATTAAACTTATCAAAATTTACTAAAATGACCAAGTGATAATTTAACTATAATAATTGTGTGAAAGAGAGAGAGAGAGTGCACATCGCATGTTTAAGTGACTAAATCGATTATTATTCTTGTTAACTGTTATCATCTAACTCCAAACAATAGTCGTACTGTTGATTCTGGAACCAAGATGTTCTTTGATAAAAAAAAAAATTAAACGAGAAATGTCATTTATTGTCGGACACCATAGAAAACAAATATCACCTATAGTAAGCTTATGTTTGTACTGAACGTTGCCTTGGAAACATTCAATTGATTTACCATCTCTACATTGCAATATATTTTTGCGAACTGGAAGGGAGGTTATTAATTATTCACTGTTAAGGTTTTTCTCTCAGTTGTTCAATATTTTTTAATTTTTTCGTTTAGCTTATTCTGAACAAGAAACCCATAGGGGTAAACGGTACAGTGATTGCCAGTATAAGCAAAAAGGGGATATATTTATACAAATTACAAATGTTTAATTATCGAAATGAAAAATGAAACCATTTGTAAAGGAATTAAAATATTCCATTAATCTGAAAATAATAATGAATTGTTTATTTAATATTAGTATAAATTTAAAAAAAATAAAAAAATCTTCACATAACAGAAAAAATAGTGATTGTCATTATTTTTACAGTGATTGACCATCAATTTTACAATGATTGCCCACTAGACATAACATAGTAATGTAAATTATAAATTTTGCATAATTTATTAAAGAATGAATATAATTTGAAATTAATAAAGAAGAAGTAATTTTTAAAATAATTTTCTTTTATTAACAATAATAAGATTCATTAAATATGACTTTTAAGTGTAAATAATACTATTAACCTAAAAAATTGGGAAAATTGTCGAATCTGACTCAATTGTAAAAATAAAAATTATTTTTGGCTATTTTGATTTGATATAATGATTACATGATTTTGAAGTTTTTCATTGCTTAAAGAAGCATATACGAAACACCTTTTTTTACCTTCGGCATTTTTTCGATAGCCTAAAATCATACTTCATATTAAAAATTTGTTAATAAAATATTACAAATCATTCTAATACATGCTGCGGCTCTAATTACATCTTTATTTTAAAAAATTAATTCACCAAATATGAAAAAACGTCCAAAAATTAAAAATACTTATCTCAAAAAAGTCTTGAAAATAAACGGTTAATCACTGAAAAATGACATAATAACCAAAAATTAAACATTGCCCGGGGAGGGCAATGACTGTTATTTGTTATTAATTCCAAGATAGTAGTTGTTCTCTACAATTTTCGGCAAATCGAGTCAAATTACGTTAAAACAAATTTTTTTACTTATTATTAAACTTATTTTCATGCATATAATTAAAAAATAATAATGATATGTATAATTTTTTTGTTTAAAAGTCAAAGAAAGTATTACCAGGGTCAAACCATTATATTTCAACTAAAGTGGTCGCTGACTAATTTTTAAAAATTATAATACTTTGCAGGAATGATTTTGAAGTTATCAAGATCACGAAATGAAAAGAATTTTATTAAAAATTTAAATATTTATTGTAAAATATGAATTTAAAGTATATGAGGTGCTAAAAACTGTCAATTTTTTAGCCATTAGAAAATATGCAAAAAAACATAGAATTTACCATAAAAATAAAAAAAAATTATTGGAATTTACTAAGAATGAATAAATTTATCATTATCAATTGATATAATTATTTAAAGATGTGAAGTAATATATAAAATATGATTTCCAAGTGCACCTGTCAAATAACCTAATTTTGCGATTTTTATTCATTAATTATAAAAAATAGAAAACATTAAATTAAATAAAAACTTACCAAATATGAAGTTCTTGCCATAAACTTTTAGAATTTCTTTGCACTTTTCTTCTTTTCTATTCATAAGTATGAAAAATTTAAAAAATAAAATAGCTACTTTGTCTATTTTCACTATTTTTGAAAGTCAATAACTTTCTTGGAGAAAAATGAAAAAATATGGGGTTTCGAAAATTATTTAAATACACACTACATATACATTCACTGAAAATTTCGCATTGGTCCCGAAGCTATTTTCGAAGATAAAGTAAATTAAAAATTTCGTATTTTTTAGGCTATATGGACATGGATTTTAAATCAATGTGAAGGTGGTTCACTGGTGACGACAAACTTCACATTGATTTAATACCTTTAAAACCCATGTCAATATAGCCTAAAAAAGACGAAATTTTTAATTTACTTTATCTTCGAAAATGGCTTCGGGACCAATGCGAAATTTTCAGTGAATGTATATGTAGTGTGTATTTAAATAATTTTCGAGACCCCATATTTTTTCATTTTTCTCCAAAAAAGTTATTGACTTTCAAAAATAGTGAAAATAGACAAAGTAGCTATTTTATTTTTTAAATTTTTCATACTTATGAATAGAAAAGAAGAAAAGTGCAAAGAAATTCTAAAAGTTTATGGCAAGAACTTCATATTTGGTAAGTTTTTATTTAATTTAATGTTTTCTATTTTTTATAATTAATGAATAAAAATCGCAAAATTAGGTTATTTGACAGGTGCACTTGGAAATCATATTTTATATATTACTTCACATCTTTAAATAATTATATCAATTGATAATGATAAATTTATTCATTCTTAGTAAATTCCAATAATTTTTTTTTATTTTTATGGTAAATTCTATGTTTTTTTGCATATTTTCTAATGGCTAAAAAATTGACAGTTTTTAGCACCTCATATACTTTAAATTCATATTTTACAATAAATATTTAAATTTTTAATAAAATTCTTTTCATTTCGTGATCTTGATAACTTCAAAATCATTCCTGGAAAGTATTATAATTTTTAAAAATTAGTCAGCGACCACTTTAGTTGAAATATAATGGTTTGACCCACCACTAACCTTGCAAATTTACAACTAAATTGACAAAATTTCAAAGAGCTAAGGACACTGTTCTCGAAAAGCGCTATTATTTTCATAATAGTGAGTCGAAGAATAAAAATCTTTTTACACTATTAGCAGAATATTCTGTAGAATTTATATAAATAAATAAAACAACACAAAAAATTAAAAGGCATTAAAATAAGCTGCAACGTTTCTTATTTTAATCCAATTTTGCTTATTTTAATATCAAAATGGATTAAAATAAGTAAAATTGGATTAAAATAAGAAGCGTTGCAGCTTATTTTAATGCCTTTTAATTTTCTGTGAAAATATTATATGTAAATTTCGTTATTATTTCTGTTTGTAATGTAATGGTGGCAATCACTGTGAGGGGGGCAACAACTGTACCGCTTACCCCTACATGAAAAAATAATTATGTTAAAATTAGGAGAAAGGAGGACAAGATGGGATATCTGTCTTTATTCACCAACTAATTAACCAATTATTATAGTCATATTGTGCATAATGTGGAACCAATATGAGTTTTCAGGTGGTAAAAACATTGAACGATTATATATCACGTTTTTTCTTTGTTTCATGAAAAAAACTATTCTCGGCGATTTTCTTCTAATTTTTCTATTTTGTAAATAACAGCGCTTTATATAACATTTTTTGTTTTTCATAAGTATCACTGACTACTTTATTGTTAAAAATGACTAATTTATTAAAAAATAATTATTTACTAGAAAAATACTAAATCATTTAGTAAGACTACTATTTCAATTAGTTAACATTAATAAATGAATTAGTATACTGTCAATATCAATCAGTTTCACCAAAAGAACGTAAAAGTTTTATTTTTATTAATGTTCATGATTATTGCGTTTAAAATACCTATTACTCATTATGGAAATATTTATTTTATAATTTAAAAAATCTGTGAAGTATTGGATACAATTATAATTAGTTATGTAGGGGAGACCGGGGATGTTTGACGCAGGGGTTGCTTGGTGCACTTGAGTTTATTCAAAAGTGTTAAGTTACATTAATTTTTCTCTTTATTCTGCTTAAAGTACTAGATGAACTGTAAGTTTGTACAAAATTTCATTAATATTTATTAACCCCTTCGCAGTCGAGGCCAAAATCTCATAAGTGGTTCCAAAATGTCAGTAAATTTTTGAATGACCAAAATTTGTGCAAATGTTTATACTATGGTATTTAAGGTCGCTGATTACGAATCTAAATTCAGATTTCAAAAATTCAAAATGTCGGATCCAATATGGCGGACAAATTTTTCAAAAAATGGCAAAAATTATTTTAAAATACTTAAAAATTGTTACTTTGGGGTTTTTGGGGTCGCTGATTACGAATCTATAGTCAGATTTCAAAAATTCAAAATGGCCTTACCAATGTGGCAGATAATTTTCTAAAACTTTAAAAATTAATTAAAAGTACTTAAAATCTGTTACTCAGGGGTTTTGAATGTCGCTGTTTATGATATTCAAGTCAGATTTTGAAAATTCAAAATAGCATAGTATGGGTGTGATTATTATTGTATCCATTTTGAATTTTGAAATTTTGTAAATCTGACATCAAATTCGGAATGAGCGACCCCAAAAATCCCCGAGTAACGAGTTTCAAGCGAATATGGTCAATTTTCAAAATTTTTGGTCGCCATACTGGATCCGACATTTTGAATTTTGTAAATCTGACATCAAATTCGGAAGCTGCGACCCCAAAAACCCCCGAGTAACAAATTTTAGGCCAATTCCGTCTTATTATTGGGCTCAAAATTTATGTGCGTGTATACACGTCATCGACACTTTGAGCCCACCTATTCCATAACGTGTATACACGTCATCGACACCCAAGGGGTTAATTATTGTGGAGTATAGATTAAAATAACTGATTTTGGCACTCCAAAGTAATTTCTTAACCTCTTCATTTTTTTGTGATATCTCTTTAAAAAATTAATTTTAGAAGAGCTCAAATATTAAGTTTTGAGCTCTGTACATTTGTTATTAAGAAACAAAAAAAAATTTTTCATTTATATTAACAGTTTTTATAAAAAATTAATAAATATTTCAAAAGTACATTCAAGGTTAGGTGGCGCGGTTATCTGAAAATTTTGTTAAATATTAATAAAATGAAGTTGATTATATGAAATTTACACATTAATAAGCACCAATAACAATCCTATTCAAAAAATTTAACCGAATAATGGTTTTTAAATATTCACAGCGTTATTATCAAAAAAAAATATATATATTTTTTGGTAATTTTACGATTTCATTTTAATTAAATTTCATTTAATTTAAATGAAATTTTCTAATTTTTATATTTATAATAATTTTATTGTAAAATTACAGTACAAGACTTATTTTGTTTAAGTCTTATATGATTTAAACTTTAAATCATATAATTTAATTAATTTTACTGCTGCGCCACGCAACCCCGGGCCGGGTAGTAGTAGTAGTAGTAAAGATTGACGTTGGCATTTATACTAGCTTTGCGCCTTGTATATCCAGCCATGACCTGGTATTACCCCGGGCCGGGGTTGCTTGGCGCGCTTTGCGCAGCTTCAAATAAAGTGGTATAAAAATAAAAGTATTAAATATATTTCAACTTTCTTTTTTTTTTTAATTAAAGCTGATATGTTACAACAAGTTTTCTATACATTAACTTTTTGAAAAAAGCAAAAATGAGTGATTTACACAACAAAGAGTAAAAAGTGCGCCAATTAACCCCGGTCTTCCCTAACTTATATGTTGTCTGAATTGTCTCCAAACATTTTTTTTCAATTTAAAATTTTACAGAAATTATGTAAAGAAATGTTGAGAATAAAATTTAATAAAAATGATAACAGTTAATTGAAAATTACAAAGTAGAAAATTTATATTAAGTAAAAATTATTAATTATTTTGAAAAATATTGATAGGGTCAGCCGGGGTAAATCCGAACGGGGGGTAAATCCGAAACCTAATTATTTCAGCTTAATTAAAATTTTTAAAAATAAGTTCGATATGAGAATTTTTACCTCAGAACCTCTTCAAGAGATTCTAAGTATTATCCCATTTTTCGTTTGTTAATTAGCAACAGCATAAACAAAGATAACGAGTATTGCAAAAAAGATTGAAAATCAAAGATGACACTCTTTCAGTATTTTGTCTCGTATTTGAAGAAAAAGAAGCTAAAAATTCATTTTATTATTTATAATTGTTTGTTATGAATACTAGAACAGAAACTATTTTAGATTTTTGCCTTCTGTAACATTTTATTAATAATATCAGACCGTTCGTATTTACCCAGGAAAATTGGAAAACCGGGGTAAATCCGAACGGTATTTTCAATAATTTTTTTTTACATCAGAGCCACACAAAATTGTTTTTATTTCATTACACTATTATTTTAACATTATAAAAGTACATAGAAAAAAGTTTTTCTTTCGAAAGAAAATTAAAAGGCATTAAAATAAGCTGCAACGCTTCTTATTTTAATTCAATGTTGCTTATTTTAATACCAAAATGGATTAAAATAAGCAAAATTGGATTAAAATAATAAGCGTTGCAGCTTATTTTAATGCCTTTTAATTTTCTGTGTCTATACGTATCCTCGTTAGTAATTAATAAGCAGAAACTTAATCTCTGTTCTCTCGAAGGAGTGTTTCAATTTTTTTGCCAAATGGTTTGTTGAAAAAAGTTTTTCAGGATCTTAATAAAATTTGGTATTCTACGGTTTTTGGGGTCGCTAATTACCAAATTGAAGTCAGTTTTTCAAAATTCAAAATGGCGGACGAGAATTAAAAAATTCATTGGATTCGCTCGAAAATTGTTACTCGGGGGGTTTCAGGGTCGCTGATTACGAATTTGGAGTTAGAAAATTTGATCATTTTTAAAAATAAGTTTTAGTAAAGTCCGCCATTTAGAATTTAAAAAATTTGACTTTTATTTTTGTATTTACATTCAATCACTCCAAAATACTTTCTGTACCAAGTTTTGCAAAAATCCGTTATGATTTGATAAAGTTATTGAAGATTTTAATTGTGTAATGCATTTTAATTTTTAACCTGTTTGATTTTTGTATTTATATATGATGCATTATTACATAATAGGTTTATTATCGTATTTTTTTTGAGTTTTTATATAAGTTTAACAATTGCAATACTTTAAATTTATTTTCCCTAAGATTTTTCTGAAATACAGTGGCGTTCGTATTTACCCCGGTATTTTAGGAAAGTTGCAAAGTATCGAGGTAAATACGAACGCTAAGTTTCCTGCGATTGTAATTTATCAAAAATTTTTGCTACCCCATAAAATTGTTCTATGGAAGTAAAGTAACAACTTCATGCACCAGAATACCGGAAGTATTTTTTTTTTAAAGAAAAAACTTATGTTATTGTTGAAACTTACTAAAAGCGTTCGGATTTACCCCGGTTGACCCTACTTCAGAAAAGTGTTATTTGGAAAATATTTTTGCACATTTTCAATTATTAAAACAAGTAATTTGTTTTTTAAAATTCTATAAATTTTTCAGAAAATCTTGGTAAAATTTTAATTGTTATAAAAAAAATTTTACGTAATGGTAAACTAAAATTCATCAGAAATTTTAATTTTATTAGAAAGTCAAAATAACATATTTTTAAAAAATAAAAAAATTTAGTGTTGAGTAAAAATTAAGGCGTTTTCATGATTTTTCAAGATGAAAACAAATTCAAATTGTTGTCCCGGGTTTTAATATTGCAAGATTCGGTGATCATCCTGTAAAGGTATTATTATTATTTTTACCGCAAATAATATTTTTGACTTGGTAACTAGGAATATTTTAAAACAAAGAAGAGAATATTAAAAATCATGGTAATTATATTTTTAAATCCTTAAAAGATTGAAAAAATGTGTCAATTTCTTAAAAGTTCCAATTGAAAAAATGCTATCTCGATTAAACGTTTGATTCACATGATTGAAGTTGGATATTTATAAAAATAAACTTCATTTGTTTAAAGGTGTTAAAATGAAGAGCAACAAAATTTACTGCTCTCAGTTTACTGTTTACTCAGTTTACTAATTTATTATAATTCAATAAATTCACGAAAACTTTGCCAATGACTTATTGTTCATTGTTAATTTTACCAACAGTGTTAATAAAATTTTTTTCAAAAAGGTGTAAAGGTTAAATGAATAAAAAGACATTTTCTTTATCACAAGACTAATAACTTTTATTAGAAAATAAATAAAAGTATGGTTCGAGAGGGACTTGGGAGTGGAACGTTTGCGCAGAAGAACAAAAAAAAAATAATATACAGTGGCTCAGATGTTATGATGTCTTCTTCAGTATCACATGCCGCACAGAAAGATACACTGTGTTTTGATAGACTTTGAGGGGGGAGGGCGGGAAATTTTTTTGGGAGGGAGTGTTGTTTGGGTATGTGACGTGGTAATACGATAAGATAGATTTTTTCAAAAAAAAAAATATGATTTTTTATTTCGGATGCCTGGTCAGTGGTCCGGGTGGTGATGGTGGTGGTCTTTGACGCCTTTTTTTAGCCAATGATTTTTGTTGCGTCCTTGAATAAATTTGTGTCCAAATATATATAATTCGCAGATTGACTATATTATTAGCCAAAAAAATAAAAAACGTCATGAATCGAGTTCTAACGTGCACTGTCGTTCCAGGTATCCAATTGTTTATACACTCCCTTTTTTTAATTGGGGGAACTCGATTCAATCGTTCTATTTTATCCAATTGACGATGAAATCTGAACGACATTTACCACCGGGGACCAATTGATAAGATGACGCCTCAGAACACAATTTCTTACCATCCGTGCTTGACGTGTTTGATTTCGGGCTCTTCATGATGAGAGTGAACTTCGTATCCAACAAGATGGGGATGATGAACATGAGGAGCCGAGTAGTGGATGTGGTTGGGGTGATCATGTCCCTTCAAGTGAAGGGGTTCGGGGTGAAGAGCTGGGATTGCTGGTGGTTGGTTGACATGGATGGCGTGAACATAATGTTCATGGTGGCCCTGTAAACAATATTTATAATAATTATAAATTGATCATTTAAAAAAAAAAGTGAAAGAAAAAAAAAATGCATTTATCTCCTCGATGAATTGTTTTCCTATATATAATGGAAAACTAGTATAAGAATTTTGGAAAGTTTTTTTTTGAAACTATTTCAAAATTCAAGTGGTGATAATTATTTTTCGAAAACAGAAGTTGAGATTGAAGAAAATGAAGAGACAGATCAAAAATATTGCTTAATAAAGCAAAGAGAGTTATAGAAGAAATGAAGAATATCACAGAAAGAAATAGTATATAAAGAGAAATTGAGACAAAACAGAAACAAAATATATATGTTTCAAAATGAAAAATATCCTGAATGAAAAGTGGAAGACGAGGCAGGGTAATAATCCTGATTGTTGCCTCAATGTATCAACGTTTTTACCTTTGGTTGCCATCCCTGATTTTGCCAACCACTACTTTTCCATGGATCTTGCCATCCACTATTTTGCCATCCACTATTTTGCCATCCGCTATTTTGCCATGGATCCTGCCATCCGCCTTGCCACGGATTTACCGGAGACTAATGAAAAATGACACTTAATTTAATTTTTTACCGCGATATTTATTTTTATAAAGAATCTTGATGAGTCTTTTGCATTATTATGATGTTACCTCCATTGTTGCAGAGAAGTTTATTTCCCTATATATATTCAATGTGAGAATATTACTCGTTACTGGAGCGTTGAGGGAAGGCATGAAAGGATTCAAAGTACCGCAAAATGAGCATAAAAGCGAGAGTTTGCTATTATGCATTGTGTTACGTCGTCGTTGTTGTTGAAATATTACCGGATAGATATATAATTACACGTTAGAAGCGAGAATCCGTAGCTGATTCTCGTAAATAATAAGATCATAAAACGGTTGCTGTAACTGCATCGTTAAAATTATTACATACACACATACACAAAGAAAGAAAAGAATAAGACACAAATTCTTCTAATTATGACAAATTTGATTTTGAAATCATGATGAATATGCGTTTCAAAAATATATATGCTTTAGATATAAGTATATTAATTTATGATTCAAATTATATTGATCATATTATTTGGATGAATCTTTGATGTGATATCTCTTGTTTTTAACAACAATTGAATGTTCTGGATTATGATGTCGATATAATTAGATCAATTATTAATGGTCATTAATATTGCTTTAGAGATTTTGATAAAAGAGAATATAGAATGTTACTCGATTATACGAATTGAATGTAAAGAGTCGATTAGTATATATACATATATACACATATATATCCAGTCTTCAATGGACTTGATGCAAAAATGTTACGTAAAACTGCGAGGCAATCGGGAAACGTAATATTGAAAGTCAGCGCACTCATTTCGAGGAAGCGAATTCACAGTTTCTGTATTCTGTGTTCAATTTCCTTGATTTCATATATGAATAATTTTAATTGCAATATACTTACAGCTTCGGCGGCGGCGGCCAACACAACGGCGACAAGAGCGATCTGAAAATAACATTCTATTTAATTCTTTTTTTCTCATTAAAATAGTTAAATATTAAAAATCATTAAAAAAATTTTCAAACTGATTTTATGATCTAAACTAATTTTTTTTCTTTAAAATGATTTTATTCTTTAAACTGTTTTTATACTTTAAATTGATTTTTAAGTATAATATTCATTATATATCGAATGGTAATAATTAATATTAATAATAATAATAATAATAATTTCGTAAAATAAATATAAATAAAATAACAAAATGCAATTATTGAAAGTGAAGAAAAAAATGGTTGCTTCTACTTTTAGAATTAAATTTTTGAACAATTAAACTTTTTATTTTAATTATTTACTAAAATATATGTAAAATATATATTTTAAGAAATTTCAAATTAAATATAGTGAGGCGTGTTTTTTTTTTAAATAGAAATTCATATTAATTATTGAAACATAGTAATGAATAAAAAATGAAAATTTCAATTCTATGGGGAATCGAACCACAAACGCATTAATTTGACTTAAGCGCTTTAACGACTGCGACTATCGGTACAGACTTGAATACAAAAATTCTAATGCATGAATAATATCTAGTATAATTAATATACAATGAATATCGTGTAGTTTAGTGAATCTATATAATGAATATTTTGTAGTTTAATAAATCTATATTGAAAATTTTGCAGTTTAATAAATACTATATAATAAATATTATAATAATATAAAATAAAATATAACAAATAGTTTTTATAGTGTAAATAGTAGTATATGTAATAAACAAAATAATATAAATAAATTAATAATTAATATAGTATAGTGAATTTATATTAGAAAAAAAAATTATAAATATTAGAATATTTACAATATAATAAATGTTAAAAATGTATGTATGAAATACTATCGACTCATGTTTCGAGACTTACGATGAATTTCATGGTGATCTTTCTTGTGTGATACACTGTAAAGTACTACATCTTTGAGGGGCAGCTCGTAGGCTTTTATAGGTAAGCCCTGCCCAAGTCTAGGGAGGTAGAATCAGGCGGGGGCCCAGTTCAGAACACGAGCGACTTGTATCGTAATACGGACCCCTTTCACCATTTGACGAAGGACCCTTTCGAACCCCCTTAATGCAACACTTGTGTCTATATCATATATTTATTATACATATATTTACACTCGTGTTTTCTTAGAAATCGGATTATTATAACCAAATCTTAATCAATTTATTTGAAATTTATAATAATTAAATTAAAAGCCTTGAATCTTCTCATCAAATATACTTGTCAAAGATTCCAATATATATTTTACCTATATATATATATATTTTTTTTTTTATCTGGATATATATATATATAGATATATAGATATATAGATATATACGTTTTATAGACTATCTTGAGAATGGTGTTATAATACGAAGATGAAGGTTGTGCTACGGTCATTAAGAAAAAGCCACCTTGGCATGATCTGAATCTTAGATGACTTGGTGTGTACCAATGGTCACTGCGTGTGATCTCCTTTTTGGGAAAACTGGACCTATTGGCCCTAGAATCAGAGAGAACTTGCGATTAGGCAATCTCTACATGTTTTCCTGGCTTTGAATCTTGAACGTTTGTGGGGAATTTAATTTGAAAAAAAAAAAAAAAAATAGAAACAAGAGCAATATAAAGAGGCAAACGACATTCGTCTAAGGTCGAATTTGCTAAGTGAATTCCTTGACTGTGACGTTTACTTGTAAATGAAGAGTGTTGATTTTTTTAAATGAGTAATTGTCCTGGAATTGCGGTCCAAATAACTTTTTTCCATAGAATTTCACTATTTCGAAGCCAAAAAAAAAAATAAACGATTTACTAACAAAGAATTTTATTAACATTCAGATAAAAATTTTTCATTGACTCCAAAAATATACCTATCATTTTTTTTTTTTTTTATATTAATACAATTATTTGGCTATTTCAAATAAATATTTTTTTCATTTAAAAAAATATTTATTTGATTTAAATAACCGTTTGTTTTACTTTAATAAATTTTTCGAACAAAGAAAGAATTTGATTGAGCTAAATAAACTTTTGGTTGATTCAACTAAACGTTTGGTTAACTGTATGGTAATAAATTTATTTCGTTGTTTCGAAGAAATTTTTTTTTTTTTTGGGTGTAAAATTGTCATTGGATATGTGAAATATTTCCAATTTGGATAGTTTAAAAAATTTGATATTTTCTCTATGTTTTTAGGGTTTCATGGCTCAGGCCCGAAAGCCTTATAGTGGCAACCGTTTTCATAGCAACCGTTACCATAGAAACCGTTTCTATAGCAACCGTTTCCATGACAACCATTACCATAGCAATTTACAAATAATGTAATTATAAATTATTTATTATATAGAAATAACTTTTGATCTGAATTTAAAAAGCCACGAAATCCTAGATGTAGGCGCTGTGCGCCTGTTTCTTTTTCTGATTTTTTATATTTGACTTTATTTTCAAATATGCACTGAAAAAATTGTGGTGCAGCAGCTGGTCCAAACGAAAAATTTCTATATTCACTCATATAAAAACTCATGGTAAATATTAAGTATGAAGTTAACTGAATATAGAAATTTTTCTTTTGGAACAGCTGTTGCACCAAAATTTTTTTAGTAAAATAGTCGATCAATTTTAATTAAAATAATAATTATTATTTTTTCAGTAAAATAATTTTTTTAAATTAAACAAAATTTATAATTGTAATTGTCTCAACGACGAGTTTCTTTTCTCTTTTGTTATATTCTAAAGAGGATAGCCAATTTTCTACAAAATATTTAATGATTATTGTTATTATATTGAAAATATTATTTCTTTTTTGTGCAGTTATTACAGCATGTATAATTGAAATATTAAAAGGTGTATATTAAAAAATAATGAGGATGTAAAATTATTTCCGATAATTTGTTAAGTGATGTGCAATTTACATCAACTTTCAATATATATATATATATATATAGTAAATGTAGATTGTGCGCTTAATAAATAATCTAATCATGAAAATGAGGAAGAAGCGCAAGTCAGTGAAAGCATTAGCGCGTGCGGATGTATAATGAAATATTGCGAAATAGATCAGAAACTAGAAATTTTACCTAATCACGAATAGATCAATATTTTATTATTTCAAACTGTATATATATCCGCATTCAACACTTTCGCATTTGATAAGTATTATAAAATAATTATCCAATTAGAAAATTTGCATGATTATAATTAACATATCAAACAAGCGTATCCTCTTTCATAAGAATTTTTCCTGTTCAATATAATGCAGATAGACAAAACTTTCCCCTTCTTATATTATTTTAATATTTTATTTTTCATTATTTATATTTTTTGTTTTGTTTCTTATTTTATTTTTCTAGATTTCATATCCAAAAAGAAAATATTGCAATATTGCTAAACTTTGCATGGTAAACTTGCCGCAAGCTTACTGCAAGCTGTAAATGACCCACCTGACCGATAGCTTGCAATCGTTGATGCAAGGTTGCCAAATAACTTTGCTTTGAACCGAAATTTTTTTATATTAATTAGACGAAAAATTAAAAAAAAAAAATTTTTAGGTTTAAAGCAAGGTTAATTGACAACCTTGCACTAACCTTGCTACAAGCTTACCATATGCAAGCTTACTGAGCAATCTTGCGATAATTTTATTGAGAAATGTTGCAAGTAACCTTACACTACAATCTTTTGGTAAGCATACCATGCAAGCTTTCAATCAGATGGGACATTTGAAGCTTACATGCTATCTGGGCTGCAATAAAAGTTAACTTTTTATTGTTACATTTTTTAAATAAACAATAATTGAAGACCTCAACGGAATAACGATCTATGGCACATTTAAAATTATAAGTAAACTCGAAATACGTTTGAGTGATTAAAGTTATGTTAGACGACCTTGAATTTTTCCATTGCATTTCCATGTAAAAATTCGTAAATGTGCAACATAACCTTAAAATGTCCAAATAAATGTTATAAAATAAAAAATTTATTATTATTTTTATTATATACTTTTAATTTGAATAACGATCTATATTATGGAAACAGTAAAAAAAAAAAAGTGTGCTATAAAATTGCTTAATTGTGTCTTAGATCATTATTCCGTGGTGGTCTTCAATTGTTTATTTAATTGTTTTAATCCAAAAAGTTGTTTTTTTAACCATTTCGCGGAAAATGAATAAATATCAAATTTTATAAAAGTATTTTCAAGTCGTGAAAAATATGGTAAAAGGAGAAATTTTCATATAAGAAATACTATAATCTTTCAAACACATTTATTTACAATTTAGATATATATATATTAAAATTTGGCAAAACATATTTGATTAATTAAAAAAAGATATATTAAATTTTATTAAATTCTGCATTAAGTTTATTCTAGTTTGTCAAAGGTTTAGAATTTTTTATATGAAATTTTTTGCTCTTTAGCATATTTTCCACGACTTGAAAATACTTTTATAAAACTCCTAAAATAGTACAGCAACAAAAATTTTATTCGTCGAAATTCATTAACTTGTTATAAATACGAGTACCTATAAATAATAAATAATTTTTTTTATTTTTTATTATTATTATTATTATTATTATTATTATTATTGTTATTGTTATTGTTATTGTTATTGTTATTGTTATTGTTATTGTTATTGTTATTGTTATTGTTATTGTTATTGTTATTAGTGTTATTCTATGTGGGGCCAAAAAAATTATATAAAAGTTTTATAATATCTGTGTATATATATATATATGTATACAATGAAGAAATAAATTTATCTAATTTTTCTTGTAAAAGAAATAAAAAGATATGTTTAAAATAATAATTACTCATTAATTAAGTGAGATTTCTTAAATGTGTTTATCAACTTTGGTTCTCGAGATATTTTCACATAGATATAATGTTTTTACAATGTTACATTAGGAGTTATATGTTTTCTTCATTGTAGAATGTAAATTAAAATGTCCATTTTTTTGCAAACTCATTTGCACATGTATAATATGCCACATAGTGATGCCCACTGAATAAAGTCTTATAATGTCAATTACAAAACACTCGAATTTTATTATGTTAATTATTTTCTTTAAAAAAAGTATCATTCAATAAGGAAATTGAATTTCGAAAAACATTTTATTTTATACTACATACATATATATATATATATACATTAAAATTATAAAAATAGACTTATGAAATGTTATACAATTATAATTGTAATAATTCTATTTAATTATAAACTAATGAAATATAAAAAATATTCTATATGTTAAGAAAACGTTATTTCGAAAACGAGAAAAAAATTATTTTTTTTTACTTTTTTCTAAATTTGAAAACCAAACATAATTTTAGATTTTATTTTTTTAAAATTATTTATTTAGACTTGCGCATACTCTCTAAATTTGAATTAAAAAGTAAAAGTTTTAACTTATTTGAATTAGTGACTCACTTTTTGCTTGTGAATTAGTTAAATTTTACTAAAAAAAAAAAAAAAAAAAAAAAAAAAAGTGAGTTAATAATTCAAATTAGTTAAAACATTTACTAATTAAAATTTCGAGAGTAGTTAATATATGAAACTGAAAAAAGTCTTTTATAAAATTGTAAGTAACCTTCAACTGCAATTTCCTGTTCAATAAACATTCTTGAAATGCATTCATGCCTTGAATTTTAAAAAACTTATCAATAAATGTTATATTTATGTACTCGTCAAAATTAATAAACGATATATACAATTAAAAAGTTCCATGTCCTATTTACAACTAAAAACAAAACACTCATCTGAAAATGTTTTTAGAGCAGAGTTATAAGAAAATGAAAAAAAAAATCTTTTTTTATTAAATCTTCAAAGTTATAAAATATAGCGAAGATGCATTATTATTGACGCTTCTATTTCAAGGTAAACCTCAATAATTGGTTATTAGAAGAATAAAAGTTATTAACAAGAATCGTTTAACGAGAATCAGCAACGACAACGACGACGACGACGACATTCAATTCCTTTACTTTCCTAGATGCCGTA